TTATAATCACTTTCCAATCATCTTAGCAAAACATGCTATTAATAAGTTTAAGTGAGTCTATATTACCACTCGTCTACCACCTTAGCATTGATTTAAACAATTTATTTTAAATTGATGGAGGATATGTATCAAATAATAGTCAAAAAGGGATAATCACAGACAATAAATTAATATATGTTTACACAACTTGATGTCGGTCAATTCTGGTCATTTCTGAAGGTAATCAACTGAATGAACAGCTAAGATTAAATAATTTAAAACTCAATTTCGTTATTACTAAGCTAAGTAAGATTAATTAAGTAGCATGCATATACAGGCTGGAGGAAACAACTTCGTACCTACTTTGAGAGGTCAATTAAAAGGAGTCAGCTAAAAAAAAACACTAAACTCACGTTGAGGATGTCAATTAAAAGAGCCAGCAAGTTCAGCACAGGCACTCGACCTCATCAAAGCTTTCCAAGTCTAAACAATATTTTAGGTTCAAGAGTTTGGTACAAGTGTATAATGCACATAAGACAGTGTAACCCATCAATTAAAATTCAGAACCACCAGTAAAACCTTTTGATATTCACAAACTGAGTGAATATTTTCCTTTAAAACAAGTGATCACTTAATTTTTAGTATTCTAAAAGGCGTGCTTAGACTTGAGGCCTGGAGAAAATGTCTCGCCTCATGTCAAGACGGGAAAATAAACCGCCAACTCTACGTTGACCGCCTAATGCATGTATAAGCGGGAATAAGACGCGCACCTTTCTATTTTTAGGTAGTATTTCCTTGTTTGTAAGTCTAGCTTAGCAAAATGCTCGACTATTGCTAAAATTTAAAAAGAAAAAAAGTCCCAACAAAAATCTCACCGTGGCCCAAACTCAGCCTACAAACATAACTTTCTGAACGCACGAACAAAACATTATTAATTTGGAGTATCGATGATTTTGAGAATTATGTTTTTGTTGCTAATATGAAAATTATATATGAAGTTCCAATAAATTTTCAAAGGTATGCAATTATTTTATTTATTTATTGATATACAACAACCAAAACAATAATAAAAATAGGAAAACATCTTATTATGTCTAGGCTTCACTTAGGTACGCTTACACTCGTAAAAATTAAGGTTTGGCATCCGCATCTTGTCTCACCTTTTATAAACTTGCTTGCTCCAA